GAGATTATTTTCGTGACTAAAATCTTTAATGTCTAAATCATAGTGCTATAATTTTATTGTTTATATATATATATATATATATATATATATATATATATATATATATATATATATATATAATTTTTTTTTGTTTCAACGGTTAAGGGTGTATTAGTTAAGTTACGCGTACCATAATTAATCTCTTCTTCGACTCGGTTAAAGACATATCTTTCACGCTGGATTTAGAGTATTTATGAGGAATAAATTTCTCATGGTTTGACTCTAAAGGGTTACCAAGGTCTGAACTTAAGATATTTGAGTTTACAATTTATTCTTATTACCACTTGAGGTATCATTTTAGGGTTATGTATGTATATAGACTTGTCAATCGTGTCGGGAGAAGTGAGTTTGTGTTAGAAATTTTTACACATATACTCGATTCGTTTATTAATTCGTGTCTAACGAGTTATGTTATATCGAGTTTTGTGCCGTATAAATCGAGTATAATTAGTATATAAACAAATTGTGTTGTGTATTTCTTTTAATTGATTTTATCAGTACTTGATTCATTTATTAATTGTGTTGGGTCGGATCAGATTCATTAGTTTATGAAACAGATAGCTTAAAGAATATTCAAACCTTTTAATTTCGTGTCATATTCGTGTCATGTTAATAAATCGTGTCATTTTAACACTCATATATATATATATATATGAGAGAGAGAGAGAGAGAGAGAGAGATATGTATATATGAGTCTATATATTGGGTTGTTCAAGTGAATCATGTGGACTTTTGACTTGGGCAAGGCAACTAAAAGTTGACATGTATTATATAGCGTCATTTTGAACCAATTGGTGGTGTAGGTTTGACAACTTGACATGGTTCTTTAGAGTCATATGTATTCGAAGCAGCTGGAAAAAAAAAGCATAGGAGGATCATAGAATATTCAAGCTAAGATTGGTTCAAACAAATTAACATGAGAAAAGTGGGTTTATCTCGGTCATTAAAAACTTATCTACACGAGTAAAAACTCTTTTCTCTATTTCCCTTAACCATAATTTAGCTTATTTATTGTAAATAAATAAAAAGAAATAAACTAAAAAAAGTATTCTGGATCTGGGTTTTGATTCTCTAAAATATATTATTACAAGGGAACTTTTCTTAGTTTACTGGGTCAATTTGAGTTAGGCACCACGTTGATATCAACTTCAGTTATTATAAACTACCAAAATTAGTCAAGAAGAAATTTAGAAGAGTTGTTGGATTCTGTTATATAGTGGGTACAAGTTGTTGCTTTAGGACCAGTTATTCAACCTATGGGTTAAGTTCTCTCTCTCTCTCTCTCTTAATTTTTTTTTTCTAGGTCATATGAAGAACTTAAAGTTAGAAAAAGTTGGGTCAAATGGATCAGTTTATCCGAAGGCTTTGTGGGTTTTGAACTAATCAATCATTCTGAAAGTCATTTATCTTTTATTTTTGTTCAAAGCTCGGGATTGTTCATCTCTAGTCTGGTCAAAGACGAATATTAAGATTAGATATTCGTAAGGAATAAATTTGTCATAACCTAATTTCAAGGAGATGTCAAGATTCAAATTCAAAATATTTGAATTTATAGTTAATCTTTATTACTAGTTGAGTTAATTTAAGATTATCCCCAAGTCTTTTTGGGTTTTGAACTAATCAATCATTCTGAAAGTCATTTAACTACCTGGTCAAGGCGTGCACCATTTGCCTTTGCCTTTGCCTTTTTCTAACTCACTAGCACTTATGCCGCCTCTGCCGGTGAGAATGAAAAGTATAAGAGATTACTTTTTTTATTCTTTAAAAAAAAATAATATATATATTTTTTTGTGTTTGATAGGATGAATAAAAAATAAAAATAATTGATTTTTTTTTGTACTTTCTAAAATTATGAATGACAATTAAATCGTGTCGTGTCAGATTTATATCGAGTCATTGAGAGTTCGTGTCAAACATTAGTCAAACTTAACTTAAGTTATTTAATTAATTGTGTCGTGTCGAATTGATCTGTTTATTTTTGTATCGTATTCGTATTCATGTTAACTTACATAAACTTTAAATAAAAAATTTAATGCTCATATTCTGTTTTCACTTAATTAAATTCATGTTTATACTTATTCTACAAATTAAAAATTAATTTAAATAAATATAATAATAATAAGTGAAAATATTTTTTTTATATAATAATTATGTCAGTGCTTAATAAATAGTTAAAAATAATTAACATTTTATGTCTATAATATTAGTTAAACATATTAATTTTGTGTTACGAAAAAATAGAGAAAATTTTTATTATTAAATAAACGGATTGATGGTGTCAATTTTGGGTTTGACGGGATGAACTAAATATGAGCTGTTTATATTTTGTATTCATGTGTTAGGTCATTTTTGAGTTCGTGTCGAGTTATAATCAAATTCGTGTTATACAATTTGTGTCAAGTTCTAGTCGTGTTATTGTGTTGAGTCAAAAAATTTCACTCTTAACTAAGATGAAATTTTTTTTATTTTAAATTTTTATTTTAATTTTTTTTTAAAAATATATAAATACATATTTTATTATTATATTTATATGAGAAATTTATATATATATATATATATATATATATATATATATATATATATATATATATATATCAAATGATATATATAGAAAAATAAGATACATTTCAACAAAAATAATTAATTTTTCGTTCACTTTCCTTTCGGTTTTGGAGGTATTAATTTTGGTGAATTGGAAGAAAAGTTCATCTATCTACTTTTTCATCTTTCCTATTTTTTTTACTTACCAAACATGATATTTTATTTATCCCTTTACTTTTTTATCTTTCAAATTTTTTATCTCTTAATTTTTTTATCGTACCAAATGAAACATTAATGATCCTGCCATTGAAGAAAAGAGAATGTCTTTGAAGGACTCGGCTCTGTGGACGACAAAAAATAGAATCAAGACAGAACACAAGAATGGATGACTCAAATATCATCTATATTTTAGGAAATACGAATACGGATATATGACTCGGGTATGATATGATATAGATACGAATACGACGATACGATAAAATTTAAAAAAACAGAATACGAGTACGACCAGGATACGTCTGTAATAAAATATATTTTATATTTTACTATTATTAAACAACTTAAAAATTACAATTTTTCAATAACTCTTTAACATTAGTAAGTAAAATTAGGACTTTTTACCATGAAAATGATGTAATATCGTCTTATTATGATATGTTCATAAAATAAACATTGAAGGAATCATAACCACATTTAATTAGTTGATTTTTCAAATATTTATTTTTAAAGGATAATGTAAGTGATTCATTTTTTTATACTTTCTTAACATTTAATAATAGATAATATTTGAAAAACACTCGTGTCTTCAAAATTATATGGAATTTTGTTGATATTTCATATTGTATGTGAACTCCAAAGAAGTGGTATAATTTAAAATTAAAAATGATACATTTTACTCTATGCTTAGAAGTATCCGCGGAGTATTCACATATTTTATTAATTGTCGGATACGGATGATGCGTATCCGATACGTGGGGGTGTTCAAATTTTTGACCGGCCGCAAGTTCCTACCCTACCCTACTCTACTGAACGGCTAGCCGCAAAAATTGGGTAGGAATGCGAAAGAGTTTTTGGTCTTCCAACAATTTTCGGGTAGGAATGTAGAATAGTCATTCATTTCTGCATTCCTACCCTATCCCTACCCGCAATAATTTTTTAATATATATATAAACTAAAAAAATCCTAATCTACCGAGTCCCATGGGCGTTTATGCCTCACATCTCACTCGGTCACTCCACTGCTCCTCCTTCATCATTCTAGACTTTCCACCCAGGTTCTCTCTCTCTCTGGTGTGGTCTGAGTTGGAAGGTTTGATTGCAGACTTTCATCTACAGTAACAAATCGGTGCTGCTGTGCGCGATCTGGTCATGAGTTGCAGATCAATGTGTGATCTGAGTTGTAGATCCTATGTTGCAGATCCATGGTTTTTTATCCTATGTTGCAGATCGGGATGACCTAGTCTTTGTTCCTATGTTGCGGATCTGGCTATTGCCATTTTGTTCGTGTATACTTATGAGTAAACCTAAATATGACCTCTGGTTGGATGTTGTTTGCATATGTCTTTCTTTTTGAAGGGCAGACACCACCCATCTCTCTTAAATATATTTCTTTTTGGATGGTGCTGGTATGGTGGGTGGTGTTTTGTTGGAATGGCTTTGGAACCAAGGCTAGTGATAATGCACAAAACTAAATAAATGGGTTATTTGTGCCAGCAGTAGTTTTAATTTCGGTTTGTTATTCATCGCAATATAGACTACTGTGAGAAACCGACTACTTTTATTCATCACAATATAGACTATTGATGTTCATACTTTCTTGTATTTTATTATAATTTTTGTTGTAGTTGTTTTAGATTTTAGTGTTAATTGATTTATTGTGTTATTAAATTGGTGCATGTTATTTAATTAAATTATTAAAATGATCCAAAAATTAATAGTTACAAAGATGTTTACTCAACTTCCTACCCGATTAATCAGGTAGGAATACTACACCTATCGGGTAAGGTAAGCCAAGAAAAAATCTTTCGCAAAGTATCGGGTAGGAAGACGGAAGAGCATATTTCCTACCTATAGGGTAGGGTGAACACCCCTACCAATACGTATCTTTGAGTATTCGACGAATATAATATCCAATACGGTATCCGATATGAATACGTTGACCTTGACAAAATATTCGTACTTCATAGTCTATATCGTATTTTTTGGCCCGTCATATAAAGATTGAGAGGGGTTGGGGCTTCATACCTAGTTTTTTTGGGCCCAAAGGATCGCTTAGGGCTTAATTTGTCAATGGGTCAGGTTCGGGTTAACTTGTTGGAAACCGACCCTAATGGGGCTTAAAGGAACTTTTTTTTTTTTTGAAATACAATTTTTGAAAAAAATAAATAAATTCATAAGTGCATTTTCTTTAGAAAGGAAATTATGCTATCAGGCAACCCGACCCTAAAGCCTGTAGGGCTAATGGGCGCTTACCACACCATGTGGCAAGCTGGGTTGCTCATTAACCTTGCGGGCTGTCAGGTCGCCAGTTCCATAAGTTATAGGGGTGTTCAAATTTTCAATTACCCACATATTTCGACCATATCCGACCGCAAAAAATGAGGTAGGCCAACGGAAGAGTTTTTGATATTCCGCAAAAATCGGACAAGAATATGGAATACCCATAAGAATTCCTTGTTAATGTGTACAGAAACCCTAAAATTCGTATGCATCTTCTTTCTAACCCATCTTTCTAACATTGATGTTTATGTCTTTCTTGTTATATTTTATTGTAATAATTTATGTATTATCGAATTTATTGTGTTTTTCTTTAGTGTTAGTAGTTTATTGTGTTGGTTAATCGGTGCAAATTACTTAATTGAATTGTTAAAATGATTTAAAAATTAATAACTAAAAAATATGTGTTTACCTGATTTCTTGTTCGACTTCCTATCTGATTGTTTTGAACGGAATTCGAGTAAAAATAAAACACTTAATAGGCCAAGAAATATTTTTGTTTTGCAAAGTATCAGGTAAGAAGATGAAATACCATAATTCCTACTTGTAGGGCTGAGTGAATATCCGTAATGAGTTGTTTCATTTATTTAACCATATCAATATAAGTTTTCTTTTAATAACCCAGCCCCACCAACCGAGTTCATTTAGATCCATTACCAGTAGTCAATTTGGGCCCACTCGCAAAACCTCCTCTCCACACGCCGGGGTTAAATTTAATAGAGGTGACCCCAAGGAACATTTTCACCATGTGGCTCGTTACGAAAATGAAAAATTGTGCTCAACATGATCCCATTAGAACATCCCACTCCTATATTAACTGTTTGTGTTATTTAGGTTAATATGTGAAGCATAAAGACTCCTCTGGTTTTTCAAAATTTTCTTCTTCTTCTTCTTCTTCTTATTTTGTTTAATGGTTTAAGGCCACGTCTGTTGGTAACAAATATGGAGGACTTGCGCCAAAGAAGAAGCCATTGATCTCAAAGGCAAGTATTAATTGTTCCTTATAGCAGCTGTCTTTTGAGGTTCAGCCTTTCACTGCTTATTTACCCAAATCTCTCAAGTGTATTGTTTGGATGCAGGACCATGAACGTGCCTTTTTTGATTCAGCAGATTGGGCCTTATGCAAGGTATTTTTATAGGGAAAAAAATTGTTTTTTTTTTTTTTTTTTTTTAACGTGGCCTTTTTACACTTTGTACTCCGAAAGATATCCAAAATCTCAGTTTATACCTTGAATGATTAATTTTTTCACATTGCACCCTGAATGTTATAAATTAGCTCCAAAGTGAATGTTTTTTTCCACTTGAAAAAAAAAATTAATTAGTGGAAATTCTGTGTCATTTACTGAGTGGATCAGGGCATCTAGTCTAGTATCTTATAGTCATGGTTGTCATAAGTTGGAGTCCTCTTTGGCCGATGTGCGTAGATGGATTGGGTATGAATCGTATGACTGTATGCATTCAGAGTTTATATTGTATTTTCAGGTTCAAATAACACGGTTGGGATACTTAGCTGTTAAAACAAACCCATCTACAATGTCTTTCCGTTTTTTAGCCTAAGTTAATTTATTCGGGTGAGAATATGTCCCTTTGAAAGTTTTTTTTTCTGTGCACTTCTAATGTAATTTGGTCTCAATAAACAGCAAGGTGCAGGAGTGAATCCAAAATCAACTGTGGCCATAGAGACATTGCGACCAAAATTACAGGTATTATTATTACTCTACTGAGTGCTGAAGACTATCAATGTCACTGTAAAAGATCGTACACAGATTACAAGACTCCCTGTTTATACGGGAGTCCGAGAGAGATAACTAGTATCATAGCGTTTTCTCAAACAACATTAATCTTAGTAAATTTCATTAGCTAATAATGAGCTAAACTTGGTTAATCCACAGAGAACGCCTCACCAACAACTACCCCCTCGGAGACCTGCTTGCACATCTGGAAGGGACAGTCTTGTGAGTTCCTAAGTGCAAGAGATCAATCATACTGTGTTTTTTCAACAAGTTGAAAGGGTTGGGTTGGAAATTATAATGGATTTGGTTAATGTTGATGCTATTGCAGGCTCAGTAGATCCTCATGTAGAGTGCTTAAGGAGGAGGGGTGGTTTTATATATTATACATATGTATATGTACTTGATATGTCGCACATTCACCATCTGATTGAACACTCTAAAATGGTAAATCAATGTTCAGATCAATAAGTTTTTACCATTTGACTAGTGTTTGATTTGTGTTTTTCGAATTTCAATTATAATAATAAAGTTATACTTTTTAAGTCTACTAGTTGGCGTACACGTGCGTTGTATGTGGATAATTTTAAAGTATAATTTGTTTCTTATTTGTTATGGCATGAAGTTATAAGTTTGTTTGTACAAGGTTGAGCATTTTGACATGAGATCTTAAAAGGTGGTTTTGTGCTATTAGCCATTCAAAGAAAAGGATTTGTACACATTAATTGAATTTAAGGAGTGAAGTATATAACTCATACATTCCTAATTAAAAATAAAATATATGACTCATACATGTTTTTAACCTAAGGACTCAAAGGTAATATATAAAGACATCATGAGCTGTTTGGTTGAACATCATCAATGGTCAGGTCAAAGGACATGAGAGCGAATAGTTGAGATAAAATTTCAAGTAAAAAGTTCAATCCAGAACAAAATTCCTAAACAAGGCATATAAGATCATAACCTTAACCTAGCTCATAAGAATAACTACCAGTGTCACCAGCACCCTTCCAAGCATTTGAATGACATTTTTTTTTTCCTAACAATTAAGAATTAACTACCAGTGTCACCAACACCCTTCCAAGCATTTGAATGACATTTTTTTCCTAACAATGAAAAATTAAGTCAAGTCATGGTTGAAAGAACAAAATAGAGAACTGGGTCAACTTATTCTCTCTAGTCTAGCTGTTATGAACAAAGAAGATGGTGAGACAACTTTATATAATTATAAGAGGAGGTATGTTATCTCTCCAAAATCCCATTTTATTTCATCTGTATTGACACAACAACATAATGAGCTAATTTTTATAATCGAGAAATAAAGTGGGGAGTAATGTTTTAGGGTGGTATGCCCAAATGCCTTATTAATGAACTCTTTGGCTGTTCTTTTTTGTCTTGTCGGAATAACAATTCAAAAAACAAAGCTGAGGTCACCCTTATTTGAGTCTCTGGTGAACAACCTGAATTTATCACACCTTCTGAGGGGTCAATACTCAGCTGCCTTGAAATAATTAAATTAATACGAAGATGGAAAAATGCCAAAGATGCTAAAATTGTAAATAGAAGTGTCACCAATGTCAATTTTGGAATAGTAATAATATTCCCAAACTCTCTTCCGCTTGGAAGCACAAAACCAAATCGCTAACATTAATGTATTATATATAGCTCTCTAGCCCCATGGCACGTAACAACCAATTCTTTAAGATTCCAATCTTTAAGATTTTCATACATAACAATAATGAATTCAAGTATAATGTAAAAAAAAAATTGAGAATAACTAATTGAGTACTTGTGATTTTCCCATCTAGAAGCCAAAGATATAAGTTTGGTCCTAAGTTCTTATAAAATTTTATATATAACAGAATGAATGTGATATTTTTTTCATCTAAAAATGTATAAATATAATAAGTTGGAAACACCGGCCCCTGATATTCAATAGTACAAATTCTATATATGTTCCAAACACTTGCAAGGATAAATTAAACTATGTCCTTTATAAAGTGCTTAATTCGTGAAACACATAGATGTTGTGTCAACCCATCTCTTCTTCTCTTCATTTCCTTCAAAATCACTGTAAAACCAAGAGTTTGAAAAGCAATAATTAAAATATCAAATAAATAATTGATTATAACATTGTCCAAGAAATCTTCACTGCGATGCATCATAGAATCTCCGATCATGTCCATCTTCGAATTGCTTCGAACTTGTAATTAACAGTTATCGTAAACAAATATTACTACATATTAGTCAGTCAAAACATCAACAATAAACAAACAAAAGCATCATAGACTTCTTCAATGAAATGAGATGCTTTTATTGTTTTGACATCACTATGTCCCCGGTCATATTTAATAGGTCAACCACTTGGCTTCGTTACAAATCTGCAATCAATCAGTGATCTCAAAGTTTTAACTTTAAAATTGTAAATTTCTCATGCTCATGAGTTCAACGTATGTTTATACTAATAGGCTAGTATTGAAATATAAGAAGTGGTAAAACATAAAATGACATAATAACGCATGTCCTATCAAAAATAATCGACAAAAAACATACAATTTTTTGGGGAGAGAGAGAGAAAAACAAGGACACATTGTGAAAGAAAATAAGAACATAACAAGGACATTTCACACCAATTGCTATAACAATCACAGGAATTGAACCAACTCCTTGCCATATGATTCATAAACTATAGAATGATACCACCAAGACACATGAAAAAAAAAATAGACCAGAAAACATATGAGTGGATGCAAAGCTCAATTTGATAAAAGGAATGACATTCTAGTTCCTTCATTGACTTTTGGCTGCGCTTGTTTTTGCTATAAGATCCAAAGTCCACTTTGTTTTCAATAACGAAAGATTTGCCAATTCTCAAAACTACAGCACCTTGTTCTTTTTACATGCACAAATATATGAAAGGTTGAGATACGAGTAATTTCTTCGGCTAGCATTCAAAAGAGTGACAATCTTCCAAGATTGGCATTAAACTTTTCTTTTCTCTTTAAGAATTCCCTCAAGAGAATAGATTCTTGTTTTGGCTAGTTAACATGGTAGATTTCATGCAATAGAAATTACCCAAACAAAAAAATTAAAATTAAATTTTAAATTCATGATAGCATAAAAAGAAAATGGAGAGACCAAAATAACTGTATAATGAACATATGAGAGTAAATTGGTACTTGTTCAAGCAGCCTGCTCGTTGTGTGTGTGTGTGAGAGAAAGAGAGAGAGAGAGAGAAAGAGAGAGAGAGAGTTTTGATGGCTAGGAGATTGAGGATGTATAGATATACGACAATATGTTTTTCTTAAGGCTTTTAAGTCAAGATAATTTATGGATAAAAATGTTTTTAAAATTGCTTTGGGACAAGTTTACCTCCCATTCCCAATCCTTTTCAAATTCACTGGGTGAAGCGACAAGACAACATTATCCTGGTCTCCAATTTTTTCAACCGCGTATCTGGTCGATGACATTCTCGACTTATTCTTGGAACAAAGGAGATAAAAAGATGTTTCCTTTTTTGGGATAACAAGTTGAATATGCCGAGTTGGAAAGCAGATTGCATATGCGAGTTAACTATTACTAAAAAACCAAGAACATAGAAGACGAAATATTAGACTTCGACAAACAAATATATTCATTAAATAGAAGGGGTATAGTCTCAAAGTCATAAATGTACATTAGTTACATTAGCCATCATTGAAAATGCTAAGGTAGAAGGCAATACGAAGAAATGAAACTGTAAGAGTAAATAGCCGTCACAAAGTTGTAAATATAAATCATCGGTTAAATAAGCCAATTATCAGGATAAAATTGTCATTATAGGAGTAAATAGGGTTAAAATTGGAAAATAAAAGTTTTTCATACTTGTTGCCTCTTATAAGTAGTATAGATGTAACATTACTCGTTTTACAAAGTTCTAGTTTTTACTATCATTTCAGTTTTCTTCAGCTGCATTTATTCTAAAAATCCCATCGATGTTATTCAGTTCATTTTTTTGAAAATAATTAGAGGACAACATATTTTTTGTTTTTGGTTTTTTAAATGATGTGCATATAACATGCCTACTCAAAACAAAATTCATTCTTGGGTTGAATATATATGGATTTGAAAGTAGTTATCAAGAAATAATTTTCTCCTTTTTTGGGGTGTCTGAGGTTGAAATCTACAACCCTCGTCTCGAGAAGAAATAAGTTTCAACTACATATAACCTGCGAAAATTCTTGTCAATTAGAGATGCGCTAGTGAATATCATATACTTTTTTCAATTAGACAATTATCATTGTGAATCAAAACTTCATATGTTAATAAAGATAAACCCATTTCCATTAGTTTGTCTGGGTTTTATATGATCGTCAATCTATACTTCAAATTTATTGAATCATAAAATACAGTTGTAAATAGAACATAAGACCGCATTCATCAAAGTTGTTTTAGTAACGAAAAATTGTCTTAAGTATGTGTTTTAAGATTAATGGGTGTAATTTATAGATGCACATAATTACTATGCTAATCAAGTTTCTTATCAATAGGACTCACTTAATTGATATTAAAAACTGTGTCACATCACTTGAAATAAAAAACTTTGTAAGAAATCTTAGTCAAAAATGCTCCTATGTATATTTTGTGCCGGGAGTTGTTAATGTACAACACGTTGAAAAATTAAGAAAAATAATGAAAAAAAGAAACAAAGGACAAAGGAATTTACGTGATTTAGTAGAATACTCCGTACTTGCATTTATAAAAGAAGATATTTTGCACTATATCAGAATCTTTTTTACAGCACTTATTCAAACCATAATCCTAATAATAAATTTACATATTATCCAACATGCGTCGAAAAATAAAATACCATACCTGAATGGTGATCCCTCGTATTTGCATATGGTTGTGTAAGCTGACAAACTGAGCAAGGCATTGTAAAAGCTCCGGGAAGACGCACCGATAATGATGGATGGCCGGTGGATGGAAAAGGTGAAGGAGGGGGAAAAGCCAAAAGGTCCTCTTGAGTGTAGTACCACTGCAACAAAAAAGGGGAATTGCTGTCAGCCCAAAGAAAAGCAGAACCTCCAAGATAGATCTATTCCTTAAGTTTGCAATATGTAGTTGATCTTGTGGGATAAGCTTTCTGTTGGATGTCGATCATCCACTCCTTTACTTGCTAGATAATATGCAACAAACCAATCTTCGCCACTACTATAATATGCTAATTCCAGAAGTCCATTCCTCTTTGACGTCTCAAAAGCAAGCTAATCCCAAATGTACATAGATTCCAAGAATCAGAAAACTTATCAACAATCACATCTAGGAGTTGGAACAGATTCAATGAGTGTAATCGAACACAATACATCTAATAATTCAGTAGATTCTGCTTGTTAAAAGAAAGCCCCAACCTCTAAACACTGTCAACCGAGGGAAAGGCCCTTCCTGCATACCCTGAAATTAAAGGAAAAAGAACAACAATATAGGTAAAAACTTGCAGTGACATTAAAAGCATATAAAATTATTACATAACAGGTCTAGGAATTTACCTCACCATTCATAATGTGCAGCAGTTTCACTAGGATCTGTCAAAAAATTGGCATTTTACTTCAATGCATTTCAACCAAAAAATGATAATTGTTCAAGTGAATTGCAGCAGCAAATCACAACAAGAGATGAGAGGTCTATGAGAGCAGCTACACTCATACCTTGAGCTGGTTGAAGAGTATTATTGATAAACCAATGATTTTGACGCGCTATCGTTAGATATCTATAAATACAAATATAATTTATAAATCCATTGATCTAAACATTGTTTAGGACTGAAATCTAATTTGTCTTTGTAGTTAACACATAACCACGGAATTGAGGGAACATAAATATGTGAAAGTGGAAAAAACAAAGATGGGTATTGGGCAGCCTAAAAAAGGTGTTAATTGAGTCAGTCTTGTATTACATTTAGGTATGGTCATTTTAGCTCCATGTACAGTACTAGTCAACATAATTATTATCCAATATTAACTTCATTTGTTTAATGGAAAAATTACACCTAAATTTCCAGAGATTTGTCATTTAATTACGTAGACTCCCTTGAAATTTGAAATATTATACACATTCTCCTAAAGTTTGTACGCGTGTAACACTTAGATTCCTGCGATCAATGTCTATTAGTATATCCATTAGTAAATTACATCCAAACCTTTTAAAATTTGCAGGCATGTAACACTTAGGGTGCGTTTGGTAACGTTTTCGTCTTTACGTTTTTTTTTTTATAAAAAAAAAAAAACTAATATAAATATTAAAAATATGTTTGATAATATATCAAAAATTCACCACCCAACACCACCACCAACCACCTAACACCCCCAAACACTCAACCACCTACCACCACCACCACCACCACCACCACCGAATGGGGTGGCTGCTTTACTTCTTCGCGGAGTTAGACTCCCCACATCCTCTGGGTGGTCTTGGTATACTCTAATTTATGATTTGGGAGCCCAGTTTAGACTTACTGTAAAATGACTATTTTGCCCTCGGGGCCCAATTTGATCTATCTTTTTGGGGATTGTAACCAAAATACTTCATAATTATTTTTGGCTAGCTAAAATGTACGTGTGTAAAATTTTACTGAAAAAATTTATTATTGTATTTATTGTAGTTTCATATTATCACGTTTCTTGAGGTAGAGTTTCCCAATAATGAAATGGGCGAGATATTTCGAACTCTATCCAAATTTATCAAATATTTTTTTTTTATTGTTTAACATGTTATTTGAATTGTGATTAGGTGGCTCGTACTAATTTGAAACTTCAGACCTAGTAAAAATTTTGATGTGCACTTTGTATTGGTTTGAAATTCTGAAATCATTTTCTACAAAACCTAAGTGCACGTGGGACTGAGAGTGACAAAGGGTTTACGTTTAGGTTTACACAATATAGGTTTTCATTGAGTTTGTAATGTTTATGTGGCCTAGTTAGTTTTCGGACATGAGTGTTGAATTGTGATTGAGCAAACATATTTTCATTGCAGTATAAGTGCCTTAAAAAGTTGGATCGTATGACTCGTATCAACCCTTATTGGTCTATTAGTATGATTGCTATCCGGTGTGACACTATATAAGTATCAATTTACTTTATTCTTTTCGTATTGAACTGTTTTACATTAGAACGTTACTATTTTATCATTATGTATGATATGAAAGGCTCTTTTGTATGCCTAATTATGTCAAATTGTTATTTTTAAAATATTGATCAAAATATATATAAATATCTTGAAACACCTTGAGACATTCTGAAAATATTGGTAAAAACGTACTAAAACCTCTTAAAACAAGTTGAATTATTTTGAAATACCTCAAAAAATTGAATTTTCAGTCACGGAGTCATTTAATCTTATTAAAAATAGAAATGTATGAGCTGTTTTGGCCATTTTAAAATAAAAATTTATTCCTCGCATGCTATAAAAATACAAAGCAATTACAAGTTAAGAACCAAAAAGGAAAAAAACAGACAAAGAAAAGATAAAAATAAATAAAAAGAACATCAGAAGTGTCTGACCACCCAACCCGGCCAGGCTCAAACCCAAAGGGAGGGGGCAAACCAAGTGCAAGAACCAACCCGGTTCAGTCCGGTCCAAGTTCTCCAAAATCCCCACCAGACGCGCACACACTGTGCAACTGCGTTTGCTCTGTTGGAAGGGATATGAGAGGGTTTTCTTCTTTGGCTTGTAGAGCTTTACCAGCAATTAGAAATCTCTCACAAGAATTACACAATCAGAGCAAACCCATTATACAAAAATCCCCAGAGGTCAAGCCTTTAACATCTCTTGATGAAAACCACACCAACAACAACAGAGAAATAATATCAACAGGTAAGTCTTCCTTGAATTCTCAGCTTAAAAATCCCAACTTGTCTTCAATTTCAAAGAGTCGGATCTCATTTGATAAACATAAATTACAGAAAAAGCCTGTTGATCAAAATTACATTTCTCAGATTCTTTCAAGGAAAGACTGGTATTTGTTGCTAAACCACGAGCTAAAAGCAAAAAGAATGAGTTTGAATGCTCAATTAATTGTGAGTATTTTGCACAATCAAGAGAAACCATTGCAGCATTTAAGATTTTATGTCTGGGTATTGAATATCAACCCGTTATTCGCAAAAAATCAATCAATTCGGGGTGTTTTGGCAAATGCCCTTTACCGTAAAGGTCCAGTTTTGTTGTCTGCTGAGTTAATACAAGATATTAGGAATTCTGGTTGTCGAATTACAGAGGATGTTCTTTGTGTTTTAATTGGTAGTTGGGGAAGATTAGGGCTAGCAAAGTACTGTGCTGAAGTTTTCGAGCAGATCTCATATTTGGATCTTAGCTCAAGTACGAGACTGTATAATGCTGTGATTGATGCATTGGTCAAGTCCAATTCGCTTGACTTGGCTTATCTTAAATTCCAACAAATGCAGATTGATAATGTTAATCCCGATAGGTTTACTTATAACATTCTCATTCATGGAGTTTCCAAAGTTGGTGTGGTGGATGAGGCGCTTCGTTTAGTGAAAAAGATGGAGGGAATGGGATATTCACCCAACGTGTTTACATACACAATTTTAATTGATGGTTTCTGTAATGCAAGAAGAGTGGATGGAGCCTTTAGCATATTAGAGAGAATGAAGGAGAGCAATGTGAGTCCGAATGAAGCTACATATAGATCACTGGTTAACGGGTTGTTTCGTGCTCTGCCCCCACTTATGGCGTATGAATCATTATGTAGCTTTGTGGAGAGGGAGCTCATCTTGCCTAAATTGGCTTGTGATGCTATACTGCATTGCCTTGCTAGTATTTTTTTACCGCGAGAGGCAGCTTTATTTTTGAGAAAAACTAGGGAGAAAGGTTACATTCCCGACTGCTCAACATTTAACATTACAGCAATGTGTCTGATTAAGGGATTGGAACTTGAGGATACATGTGAGATATTGGATAGTTTACTTGAGAAAGGTACGAAGTTGGGATTTAATGCTTATCTGGCACTTATTGAGGCTCTGTACAAGGCTGGAAAAGTAGGGGAGGGGAATCGGTATCTAAATCAGATGCTCCAGGATGGACTTGTAGCAAACGTCTTCTCGTATAACATGGTAATTGATTGCTTCTCCAAAAATAAAATGATGGGCAGGGCATCAGAGATTTTCAGAGAGATGTGTCAAAGAGGTATTGCTCCTAATCTTGTCACTTTCAATACCCTTATCAGTGGACATTCCAAAGCTGGACAGGTAGGTAAGGCACGAGAGCTTCTGCTGATGCTCTTAGAGCATGGTTTCGAACCAGATATTTTCACTTTTAGTTCAATTATAGATGGTCTTTGCCGGGTGCACCAGATTGAGGATGCTTTTGATTGTTTTACAGAAATGCTAGAGTGGGGAGTCACTCCAAACAATATTGTATACAATATCTTAATCCACTCGTTATGTGTCATCGGGGAGGTTACAAAAGCGACATCATTGTTAAAGAAGATGCGAGGTGATGGTATAAGGCCAGATGTCTTCTCTTTTAATGCTCTTATTCAAAGTTTTTGTAGAATGAATAGGGTTGAGAAAGCGCAGAAGCTTCTCCAAATCATGTTGGCATTGGATTTGAGTCCGGACAATTTTACCTACAGTGCATTTATCAAGGCATTATGTGAATCAGGAAGATTTGATGAAGCTAAAGCGTTGTTCCTCTCAATGGAGGCAAATGGGTGCATCCCTGACTCTTATACATGTAATTCGTTTTTTAATGATCTGGTTAAGTCGGCTCACGTTGAAGAGGCCCGAGATATATTTCTGAAATACAAAGAGAAGGGAATTGCACTAAAACCCATCGCTGTTTCTCAAAATGAGGCGCTGGTCAGATTGTCTTTTCTTCATACTGATTCATGAGTTTGGACTTCTTTGGGTAGCCTTTGGCTTTAACAGCAAATATAGCTATCAATTGCCAGGCTGTTTTTCTTACTGCAGTGTGGAATCAAGTAAGTTGTATGTGTGTAAGCATATAATTTGATCTTCATTGTGAAATTAGGTGGCTTTTAGTATCATCTTGTTTTCAATTTCCAATTTGTTTTTCTTTGAGTTTGTTTTCCATTTTTTTAATCAAACAACGTGTTTGGTAATGGTTATGCTTTTAACTTAATGTCAAACAAAAACACTTTTACTTTGCGTATTTATTTTTTCTCCCTTACCTTGTTTGAGTACTTATCTTGGACTATTACCACCATACCATTACCAACACCACCTCGACAGCCCCACCACACCACCATCACCCCTACCCTCATGACTACCATCATAGCCGCTATAGTTGTTCCAACATCCACTTGGACCCCCACCTCATCATCACCATCACCTCTACTGTCGCCATCCCCACCACCATCACAAATGCCAACGCCCTGTCCACATAAGACATCATTGTGGTCACGATCAACTGGTGACAATTGTTTTGATCTTGTCATAGGTAAATAATAGATAAAGTGAACCTTATGGTAATATAATGTCAACTATTATGGGATTGATCATATTCACCAGTACTTCAATAATATGGCATTGGACTGTTCGTTATAGTGGCAACAAAGAAGATAAATTCATGGTAGAGGATAAAGAAAATGAAGCCATACCCTAGCACCAATCAAATTACTAGCATTGGATATACATCGAGTTTATAACACAGTCAGGACATATTTTAAGATGCAATTATGGGTTTAAACTAGAAATCTTATTTGGGAACTCCATCCTATCACCGCTCAACTTAAGCTACAACACCAATGGTATTTTATATTTGTTTGACTGTTTGTTGATTGAAGTCCACAAGCAATATATGAGTTTACTATATTCATTATCCGATCAGCTTCAGTAATTTAGTCAGATCCATTTAAAAGTATCCCTGATTCTTATACAGGTAACTCATTTTTTAATGCTCTGGTTCAGTTTGCTCACTTTGAAGAGGCCCAAGATATATTCCTGAGATACAAAGGGAGGAATGGCACTAGAACCCATCCCTGTATTGAAGTATGATGCTTTGGTCAGGTTGTCTTTAGTTGATACCAATGCATGAGCTTCAGCTTCTTTGTGTAGCTTTTGGCTTTGAAAGCAAAAAATACTATCAAACACCAGGCTTCTGTTTTCCCTACCGCATTGTGGAATCAGGTAAAGTTGTAGACTGTAGTTATTTAAGCATATTACTTAGTCTTCATCGTGAACCTACTTAGAGTTTTCATTTTCCTTTGCAATGGGCTGCACTTGATCTTGTAGTGGGATAAGCATGCAGAGTCAGTTGTATGGATCCTCACACAAAATTATAGCTAGTATGTATTATACCATAATTACAGAGATTTTCAGTACTGTTGGGAAATTATTAAAGGGGTGTTCATTATCCCATCATTTGTTCACGTACCAGTGAAAGAGGAGACGTTGATCCTACCATAACCAGAACATATTTGAATTAACCAGGCTAGCTCCTTAGGGAGGGATTGTCTTTACCTCTATTTTTCAAGATACAGAATAGATGAGGTCACTTTCTGCATTTCGAATGATATTTTAATTATGAGATTGAGAAAAAAAAAAAGGAGTTTTGTGTTCTTAAGGAACTGAACAAGAAATAAGTGCAAACCCATGAGAAAAGACTGGAGATATTGAAAAGCACCCCTTAAATGCTGTCTGCCCGCTGGCACTATCTAGCAATTTGGACAATTGTATTGACAAGTTGAGGAACTGGATCTTAATGATTTACATTTGGCTTGATACCTGTGATTATAACATGAGGTTGGTGGTAGTGTAAAATGTTTTAGGCTGCATATATGTGGAAGTGGAACTCCTTTTACAAAATTAGAATTATTTGAACATTGTAAGATCATGAAAAACTGTCTTTAGAGATGGATATATACTCAATTTTGTATTTACCGAATCGAAGAGTTGATGTACAATAACAAAGTTTTGTTTTCTTCTGTTTATGCAGCATCTGGTAGTTTTCTGAGGAGCATGATGTTTCAAGAACTGCTTTCCTTGGTTTTGTACAAATAAATTGACGGGAATGTGGAAAACAATAGGTCAGTTCTTCTGACATAGCCAGGAATCCACCTTTTTTTTTTTTTCCACGCAAGACCTTCTTTGTTTTGACTGGTGAGAAAAGAATATTGACTAGTTCTTCTAATCAAAACCAGACTGAAATCAGGCTTTGAGAACTCATCACAAATGCTGCAGGAGAGTTGGTGGTCTATGACCATGCCATCTGCATCACTTCTTGGAAGTTCAATCTTCAAGTGGTTGAGATAATATGTGTGGCTTAAGAGGGCTTGTCTCAGATGCAATGGGAGAGTTCGTGGTTTTGAAGCTCGATGTTCAAGTGGTTGGGGTTCTATGGCCTCTACCTGGCTTGGGACTGGGAGATTCTTAGCAGCTGTATAAGTTCATTAGAAGTCTGGTGGAGGTTTGCTAACTCACCCTCCTTTGGGAGTGTCCCAGGCCTTGGAGAAAGAAGGTGTTAATCGAGTCTTGTATTACATTTAGTTCAGGTTAGTTTAGCTTCATATACAGTACTAGTCAATGTAATTATTATCCAATATTAACTTCATTTGTTTAATATGTCATGTTCAGATTGGCATGCATAAACAGTGAACCAGAATTATAAGATCAGGCCCCCATTCTCTCTCCATTAAACCCATCCCTCACATGCTCTTCATAAATTAAAAATCCTCACGATCCAAATACCAACATAATCAAATAAAAATTCTCTCAAAGAAAAAATCAGAAGTTTTTTACTGTGTATTATTGCCGAGTAATTTGTATTTGTTACCAACTTGATTTGTTTCTTATTCTTGTTAACACGTCGTGTCAAGCAAGTTGAAGTTGCGTAAAAATTATCATCGTTCCAAAATAACCCAGGATTGCATGATCAAAGTTACTGTTATTACCTAGCAAGATACGTCGCCTCTTGCTTGTTTCTCTGTGCAACTGATAAGAGTACATCAAGCAATGCGTCAAGAGAGTGCCATTTTATTTTGCCTCAACTCAAGTGTGACGATGGTTCTGGCCAATGATCAAATTTTCGTTTCGAAACGTCTAAAATATTACCATTTTTAAAGAGATGAAAACGAATAAATGATTTATTGAAATTTTAATATTTTGAAGTGTTGCATAATGTTTCGAGGTTTATTGTAATGTTTAAATGTATTTGCACAATTGTTTTGTAATATTTCAAGGTATTTTGGTATATTTCGACTAATATTTAAAAAAAATAATTTTTAAAATCTTTTTTTGATTATGTTTCCGAAATGGATCAAAATGTTTTCGAAACATGTTTTCGTTTCTTAAATGACCGAAATAATGCACCGAAATAAAATATTGATTCGAGTCTAGTCTTGAAAATTTTTGACTTTCTCACTGCTATGAGGACCGGTAACCTTAACTTGTATTGAAAGCATGCAAATCTGAGTATAGGTTTGATGTCCTACGTACACAGAGATGAAGTCCTTGACAAGTAAAAGTTGTCTACTTGCATTCCAACTGCCCTCTCCTTTGAGTCGCCTCTATCTCATCCAATTTTTAATTCAAATTCAGAGCAGATTACCTAGAGCTGCACCTTTTTCCTGTGACAATTTCAAACTACACCCACAAGCTTTTGTCAATTATATTTCCATTCTTCTTTTACAAGATTGTTCCATTCTGGAATTAGTTAGGTATGGCATTAGAAGCTAACTTTTTTTTTTTTGTAATATGGGTAATGCTACCTGTATATAATTAGCATAAAATGTGACCCTTCTCCACCATGAGCGTTAATTATACAAAAGTTATTCTAATGGCAACCTCAGTTACCATTAAGCACTGGCTGTTAGCCTCAGCATTGATCTACATCCTTGTTTTCTGTTGCATATCAGGTACATTTAACAACCCCAAAATCATCTCTCCACCTTTGGTTCAAATCTACTCACATAAACGAATTCTCAAGATAAACCTTGACAACACGACCACCCATATCTACTTATCTTTCAAAAGTATACCTATGCGTTTGCTCATAATCATGATTTAAATAGAGATTGATCAGGCTTACTAATTATGAAACGGCAACACATAAACATCAGATTTGCTCTCATTTACTGTTTTCGTATATTTAAGTTGATATTTCTTTTACTCCTTGACAGGGAAGGCAGATCAGAATCCCCCTCAAACCGGAGTTACAGGAGCTGCAGGCGCTGATCCGGCTCATATTGTTGCTGAGGCGCTGCTATGTTTCGATGAAAAACATGTAAGTAATGTTTCAACTAGCATGTACTAATTAAATATAATTTATTATGTTGGAATGTTTCGTTAATCTAAGGGGAACTTACCCGATAATCACTACTCATTCTGACAGGAAATTCATTAGATGATGCTTGTTTCTATGGGCCCTTGAGTATGCAAACTACAATATACCAATGCCTCTACTTGTTTTCCTATCCTTTGTTGTATGAGCCTATCTACATAATCCACTTCAACAGACTATGACATAATTATCGCGAAGTATATGTTGCTCGAAAGACGGGGTTAATATTGTCTGTTTTCTGATTCAAATAAAATCACAGATATACAGCACCTGCGAAGAAGCTTACAGATTGACCGAGACTGGAAATCTCAACGTGCCACATGAATATGCTAATCAATACTGCAGTGGGCCGTGCCTATCTGAGACAAACCTCGTGCTCAATTGTATTGATAACATAGTATCCCACTTTGAATTTTACAATAAGGCTACAATAGAAGATGTGAGAGAGACAATCAAGGCAGGATGTGGCTATGGCCCTCAAAGAGGTAGCTTGTGAAACATCACATTCTTTCGAGCATTGAGAATTATCCTAATCTCCTGTGTGTTACGCAGGTAATTTCATTGTGGCTGAGCATCTCAAAGCTGTAGAGAGCAGTGCACACAAGGCTTCCGACCCCTTCCTGTTCAAGCTTATGCTGATGGTTTTCGGGCTTAGTTTAGCCACTTTGACACGCAATTAATTGCTTGTATTTGGCATAATCAACGCATAGTATGTTTAAAATAGGAACTAAGATATATTTACCTGTAGCTTATGTGCACTGGATTATAAAATGCTCATGTAAAACTCTTCTTACTCTGAAGATAAATAAATCCGAATGTTTGTTCTTTGATGTAAATTGGAAAGGACATGTATCACTCTGCATCTGTGAGAGCTCTTCATAGCAATTCAGTGCTTGCCCTTTTTGGGTTGGTGTTGGTTTTTTTTTTTTTTTTTTTTTTTGGGGGGGGGGGTGTTGGTGTTCTGTGGGCAGGGTGCTTCTACTTTGAACCCAAATGAGGACAATGATGAAAAAAATTTGATGAAGATAGGCTAGTACAATGATGCAAGAGGACCATTAAGGAACTGTGAACATTGTGAAACAAGTGGGCCCTTGATCAAACTTCTCATAGACTAAGCAGATCAACCGCCGACAGCCCACTGAACATGAGAAAACGGTTTCTTTCCATGTTCCACATTACACGCAAGTACTCCCACTAACCTTATTCACTTCTAGTTGTTGACATCCAAACTATCTATAACTGCCACTGAAACATCAGAGAGAACAAATGGAGCGCTTGAACTCTCTCCTGAAGAACTTTGTTAATTACCCTCTAATGGCGTCTCTCAAGAATCAGTGTAATACTCTCATTCACTTCTCAAGAAACATCACTTGCTCTCTATCAAGATCAAGAATCCACGGTGTCTTCACATTGCTTCTCACTCTAGCTGTCTTCTTCTTCATCTTTTTCTTCTCCGCCTCCGAGACCTCCCCAGCCGTGACCTTCACATCTCTTGCTTCTCGGTTTCATTCATCCCCAAACTATGTCTCACCATTATCTTCCATTGTTTCTTCGGATGACAGTGACAGTAATGATTCAGAAAGAATCCACCAGAGTCCAAGAAAAGATGGGAATGATTTCATTACTTCATGTAATTTCTTTGATGGTCATTGGCTTGTGGATGATTCAAACCCTCTGTACAAACCTGGAGATTGTCCATTTCTCGATGATGCCTTCAATTGTTTCAAGAATGGCCGGTTGGATTCGGATTACCTCAGGCTCCGGTGGAAACCATATGGGTGTCAGATTCCAAGGTCCAGTATCAAAACCTAGGTTTAGTTTACAAAAAATGTTTCAGTTACATATATAACTCTATATAAATGTTGAGTACAAAAATGTAATGTGAATATGAGGTTTTGATCAAATGAAAAAATGGGCAATGTTTGATATGATTTTGTTTTCTTATGTTGCTGTTTTTGTTGAATAATGTTAGGTTTGATGGGTTGAAAATGTTGAAGATGCTGAGAGGGAAAAGGGTGGTGTTTGTGGGGGATTCACTGAATAGGAACATGTGGGAATCCTTGGTCTGTGCTTTGAGAGAATCACTAGTTGACAAGAGCAGAGTCTTCGAAGTTTCGGGTCTTCACGAGTTCAGGACTCAAGGGTCCTATGCTTTCAGATTTAAGGTCATGATCATACTAAGAACATTACTCCACAAATCTTATGTTCTTGTTATTTATTAACCCTATATATCTGCTTCCTGAACATTTTCTTAGGATTTATATAAGGATCTTGCGATAAATGTAGGATTATAATTGTTCAATCGACTTCATCAAATCGACATTCCTCGTACAAGAATGGAAGTTTTTAGACAAGGCTGGGAAACGAAGGGAAACGCTAAGACTGGACATGATACAAGGCTCTTCCACAAAGTACCATACTGCTGATATTATCATTTTCAACACAGGTCATTGGTGGACTCACCAGAAAACCTATAAAGGGTGAGTTCTGATTGTGTCTTAAAACACTGATTAATACAAATCTGCAACTATGAAATCCATTTAAGCTCCAATTACTTTCACATTCAGCAAAAATCGATACTATGAGACTGTTTTTCTTTCAGAAAAAATTACTTCCGGGAAGGAGATCATATCCATAACAGACTACAAGTGGCAGATGCATATACAAAGGCCTTGAGGACATGGGCTCAGTGGGTTGATGCTAACATCAACAGCACTCGTACCAGGGTATTCTTTCAGGGATACTCCGCTTCTCATTTCAAGTAAGTTCAATTCATCGATAAACCAATACTGATGTCATGATTTTGAGCTACTTTTTTTTAAGAATAACTGGTTGCTTTCAGTACTCCCACGAAATTTCGAAAATTGTAATTACATTCAATCTCCCAGGTTTATTAGTCACTGTTTTTGAACATTTGCAGAGGGGGGCAATGGAAATCTGGGGGAAGTTGTGATGGTGAGACACAACAGATAACAAATGAAGCCTATCTTGCAACATATCCATGGATGATGAGCATCCTTGAATCTGTAATAGCAAACATGAAGACCCCTGTGTATTTTCTGAACATAACGAAACTGACAGACTACAGAAAAGATGGTCACCCTTCAATTTTCAGGCAACCAAAGGCGAAACGGAGTCCAGGAATGATTCAAGATTGTAGCCACTGGTGTCTTCCTGGTGTCCCTGACTCTTGGAATGAGATTCTATATGCTGCTCTGCTAAAATCCCACCATGACCTTCCAAGTAGTCAGTATGAGCTTTGTGAAGTTTTGGAGCCTGAACGGCTCTGATCTCTCTGTTCATAAATGCAATTTGTGGATCTCATTTCATTGAAACTATGTACTTCCAAAATTTACATACTAAACAAGAATTGGAAACCCCCCCCCCCCCCCCCCCAATGGTTGGACCGTTTGAATTGGATCTAAAACTTCTCAACTGTAATTTATTCAATAATAAATCACTTTATAAATAACGAGTTTTACTTGAATTACAAAGAGTGATGCATCAGTGAATAATAAAATTATTTAAAAGTGTAATGAATAAAATTTTGATCCATTTTGAATTAATACAAATGACCCTTAAACTAGGATCCTCGTATCAATTAAGTCATTGGACTAATTTTTGTGTCAATTGAACTCTTAAACTCTTAAAATTTTAACAATAAAGCCCTTATGTCAGCAACTATTATATTTTTGGACAAAATGTCTCACGTGTTCACTACATGGACAACAAAATAAGAGTATTTTAGACTGTTCGTTCGAAACCTATCATTCAAAAAACGTCATTCCTTATACCTATCAACTATAACCCTAACCGTAAACCTGTTTCATAACCCAATTAAACGGAAAAAGCTCAACAAGCTTTTTGATCTAGTGTAAAAAATAAATTACACAAAATTGACGCTCTTTGAAGAGTTTGTTAATCTGCTTCGTCTCATGGGTATGAAAGAAGTTCAAATGTAGGGTTTACATTAATGGGTATAAGAAATAGATTCTTCTTCTAATAGGTTTTGATCGAACAATCTAAAATATCCCTAAAATATTGTCCATTTGATGAGCACATGAGACATTCTGTCTAAAAGTTTAACAATCATTGAAAGAATGACTTAATTGTTAAAATTTTAGAGTTTAGGAGTTTAATTGATATAAAAATTTAGTTCAAAATTTTAATTACTAACAAAAATTAGTTTAAGGAGTTAATTTAATCGACATTTACAGTAGTTTACTCTAAAAACAAAATCCATTAGACCACAAAACCACAAGGGCGTGACCCTTCTGCGCGTGGCACACCATGTCGACATTACAACAGAAGAAAGGAGGTTCAATTTACAACGCCCCAAGTTTTTTGCTTAACGAACAAGGCGAGAGACAACCATCTCTCAACTTTTAAAACAACTCTGTGGACATTGCCTCGATATCTAAACCGGAAGTTCGGATTACCGGCCGTGAAAAATGAGGCCACCGGCGAATTCCATCAACGTCAACGCCGCCATGACTCGGAAGATCAACGTCGACAATCGAATCCCCCTCCGCAATTATTATCGAATAGCCGATAACCTACTCAAACAGGTCCATTTATTCGTAATTACAGATATTGGTGCATAGTTATAAATGGATATGCGTTTAATTCTTTTTAATAATTTGTCGTATGAGTTAATTGTGAAAGGGAAATGCTTATACTTTGCCCAAAGTGATGGCGGAGCTGTTAATCTGTGAGATTTTTTTTTTCTTTTAGTGGTTGAATGTAGGGCTTTAGGGTTCAATATAGTTATTTACTTATTTCTTTTGGCGCAAAATTCAGTTTTTTCAGCTGAAATTTAATGTTTTGTTTCAAATTGACGATGCATCTGGTAAATATCATAATCAATTTTCTCTGTCCACACGGATTTCTTAAAGACACTGTTCTGTGATTGCTGAGACTTATTGTTGTAATCTGTTTTGTTTTATGTCCAGGCAAGTATTTATCGGGAGGAGAAAAATATCATAGATTTGTATATAATACTTCTTAGATATTCAAGGTAAATACAGAACTGTGCTGCCAGAATTTTTTGTGTATTGCTGAATTTATAACATTATATATGTATTTGATGTGCTAATTGCTAAATTGTGGAATAGTTTGGTTTCTGAAACCATACCGTTTCATCGAGATTACCAGGCTTTGTATCCGAAGGAAAGATTATATTACAAGAAGGTTAGTATGGCGTAGTGATATTTGTGCTTACATTGCGTTTGGCAACAGAGTCCGATACGGGCTTTTGAATTGGATTTGGATAAAAAATTTATTTTGTGTTTCACCAAAAGGTGCACATAATTAGAGTTTATTCAGGTGATTTTTTGGCGACAAGGTGTCCTTTTGATGTCCTTTTGTTGTTTCAGAAATTGTTATCAGTAATAGATGAACTAGAGTCATTACAGCCAGAATTCCGGCATCAATTGGGGGAACTAGAAAAAGTTCATGCTGGAAATCAACAATACCTAGATGATGGCTTGGATAGAACTCCTTATGGGTCAGAGTTATCTTGTTTGCAGTGGCCTGCTGTCAATAATAAAGCTTCTCTTGGAGCTTCTTTGGGCTTTGATAGTAAGCAGGTAAGATGTTCTTTGACTCTTCAACTTCTCTCTGTATAACATTTGTTTTCGGTTCATCTATTGATCAACTGGTTTACTCATATTAAATAGCATTCATAACCCATTGGAATTGCTGTCTCCTCGGTGAATGTTTTACCCTTTATGTCCTTTATTATCAAGTTTGTAAAGCATCTAGGTTTTTTTGTCATTGTCCTGTTTTCAAATTTTGTTGCATTGTTATTGGGATGTGTGAGTTTCATCTCCCCCTTAACCTTCTTTCTTTGCCCAGCTGCAGTCAGCCAGCAGGGAATCTTTGTTTTCATGGAATCAGAACAGCAACTGTACTCAAGTAATACCATCAAATTCCATTGACATGCAGTTCCAGAAGCTGTGAGTGCTATAGATGGAACCTTTGTAGGATGTGTTATCATTGTTCTTTTGTAACTGGGATTTGAAGTGTGGCAATATTGATGTCATTGTTGTGACTTCTCATGCTCTTCTTATCCTTTGAGTTCGAGATGCTTTCATCTCCTTAACTTAAACTGAATGATTGTTTCTGTTGTTTAAACTGCATCTGCCAGTTTCGGTCATGAGGTTTAGTTATACCAGGCCACAAAGTGCCATAGTCATGGTTCAAGGTCGTGTTATCGACCATCAATTTGGAGAGCTTTGAGACACATCGTTCGCGGCGTGATATCGGGTCATACGACCTAAAAGAAAATGTTAAACATGACAAGAAATTCATGTCATATTGTGGCGCCGTGAAACCATAACGGCCACTTCAGTGATGATATTTCGGTGACTTGGATACAACTCGGACGACTCGGCCGAGTTGTGCGAGCTCGGGATTTATACGTATCGTGTAATGGTATCGTCTCCAAAGGTATTGAGACGGATACGACTTGGCCAACTCGTATCGGTATTGACCGATATTTTGAACCATGGCCATAGTTGGTGTTAATGTGAACATAAAATCATGCATAAATCTGCTGTTGAAATAAAAAAACATTAACTTTGAGTGTTTTTGCAGATCTCTTAGTTTACCTCTTCCGAAAAAGGAAACGTTGTCCAGACACTCTCTTTTAGGTCCAAATGGTCTTCGGGGTCAGTGGATGGGACCCAGCACAGAACTAAAGGTAAAGTTCACCACGTGACATTTCATATTGTCGTAAGTTTGTGATAAGTTCATGATATGGTTTTCAACCTCCTTGAAGTGATTGTTTTCTTTTTGTGATACAGGTTCACTATCCTACCACTACTGAATTAACTGCAAATGAAAAGTCAAGGTCAAGATACTAGCATTATTCAGTGGTTCATCTATTAGACTGCATACTCATGCTTCTGTTTTTGTACCACATTTCATTTTCGGTGGGGTAATTTAGGAAATTGAACCACATAAGTTTTCCTTAATATTTTATGTTAAGTGTCTCTGCCTGCTTGTAACTTCTTCTGTCTGGTGTCGATTATGTTTTATAGCATGAATGAGGCTGCACAAAATGACATTTTGGCAGTAAGAGGTGCCAATTCCGAACTAGATAGATCTGTCATGGACTCGGTGCTTTCCTTAGATGATGGTAGATGGTCATGGGATGCAAGGAAGGATCATTTTCAATTGGGCAATATCCGGCAGCCTTCTCCCCCTCCTGTTCTCGCTCAAGTGCAGCAAGAGTATGCTTCAATTCCTCCATCAAAAGTTGCAGATCCGAGACCTGGACCAGCGAAACCTTTACAGGATGGGACACCCCGTTCTAATTCCTACCAGCATTTACATCTTGTAAGTCTTCTAACTCAGTGGTTGATGTGTGGTTCCCTCACTTATGGATGATTTTTGTTTTGCACAATGTGACAATGTTTTTATTTAATTATATTGCAGCCAGTAAAGATGATGGAAGATTTTTTGAGATTGGCCCAACAAAACACTGCAAAAAATCTAGAAACATGTGGTGTTCTTGCTGGTTCACTGGTAAAACTGTAACAAGGCCATGATTTCTTTATTGGTTCTGTATTTTGAAGAAAGCAATGAAGGAGTGCATTGGAGATTTATATATGTGATTTCTTAATTTTTTGGATTTCTTCTGTTTGTAGAAAAACAGGGTGTTCCACATCAGTATGCTCATAATCCCAAAGCAGGAGTCAACCTCAGACTCAGTAAGATATGTAGATTTGGAGTGTTCATTGAAATTCTATTAGCTTTCTTGGGTTGATTCCTTTGTTTGTTCTTCTCCAATATTATAATTCTGTCAATTCTTGTGTGACCTTTAAACCAGTCAACCATTGTCTAGAAGCAGAGGGAAAGTCTCTGTTAGGGAGAACTATTTTTTAGACTCAAGGATACATAATTATATATTAAAATCTAAGGAGCCTGTTTGTACTTTGGCTGCTGATTTAATTGAAACGACATATCTCACTGGTCTAAATATTAGGTCTTGCCTGTAGATTACGTTTTATCATTACTGCAAGTGTTGTAATATGGCTTTTGATTTTTAATTCATTGTAATTACACAGAGTAAATGGATGCAAGCAGCATGAAATATAAGTTCTCAATTAAAATTTTCCATCTCATTGATATTGATGGGTCGTAATTTCATGTTTATTTCTAATTCTATGCTGAAGCGTTCCTTCTTTGATGCTCAGTGTCAGACATTGAATGAAGAAGAAATCTTTGAGGTTCAAGACAAGTTTTCACTTTTCCAGCTTGGATGGATTCATGTAAGTACCAGATAGCCTTGTTGAGAACACTTTTTCCTCTTAATTCGGCTATTATAGTGTATTTTTCCTTTTAGGTTGACATGACGTAGTAGATTAATGGACCTTGCTTTGATATTTTTGTTGACTTAATTTTTATGGGAATGAATTGCGTATATTTGCTGCGAATTGCTTGTCATCCGATGTAGTATTGATGAGATGGTGGTCATAAGATCAATAGATAAGCTTACTTCTGTTGTGATGTGCAATTAATGTATTATAATATGTCATCCAATCTTATTATAGAAGGCAATCAAGAACAAAATGCAATGTTGAGGACAACATATCCTCAAAAAACACAAAACCAAAATACATATCAAATAGAAGTTGTAAGGAAAAAAAACTAAAGAAGAACCGTCTTCCAATTCCGGTTAGTCTAATGTGGGTGGCTTAGTTTTGCTGACAGGATGATACTGTATATGTGGTTTAGTTACGGTAGTGAAGTCTTCAGTTTTATCATTTGGAATTCTTATCTCTGCCTTCAGATTCGCACTAGGGCTTGTTTTCTGTGTGTTCCTGTATGAATACAGACATTAGTCACTTCGTATGGAGACAATTGTGGGAACTGCTTCAATTTTATTTGAGTAGCAGTTGGTTGGTTTGTGTATGCTTTCATGGATTTTGTGTCACAGACTTGCGTTTGTCTTTTTGGTTTGGGTGGTATAAGGTGAGAATGAACATTATCTCAGTATGTGTTCCATTTTGAGCAGCGTTTTTTTTTTTTTTTTTCATCAGGGATATCCAAATTTTCCACAAAATAATGCTTCGGTTTTTTAGCAAATCCGATGTTTTTTGATGTTAGTCAATGCCAAATTGTTGAATTGTGTCAATTTTCTACCTTGACTCTTCATTGCTAATTTATGGGCTATTGCCTAAGGCTATATGGCTACTTGTGCTGATTTTCATCGTTTAAAATGTTTCTTAATTGGACTGTATGTTGTTTATATGCTGTTAATTAATCTGTATTCCATTTGATTAGATCTCCTGACTTGATATACTCAGATGGGAAACAACAGGAAATAGATTTTGTTCTATTTATTGAGCCATATATTCTCATTTTTTTCATATTGATTTTCAGACGCACCCATCACAAACCTGTTTTATGTCGTCAGTTGATCTGCACACTCATTACTCGTATCAGGTAATCATGTCAATCCTGCAAGTTATTTACTCTCTGAACTTCATGACTCCAGTTTTTGATTTTTCTTTGCTTTGATTTCGCTTTGTTTAGGACATCTTAAAATTTTCTTTTAAACTCCGTGTGATGGAGGTAGAGATTCGCGTAATGTACATGTGAAAAAATCTGCATTTGCTAGGGCATCTGTATTGTCTTGTCATTTGATTAAAGATTATTTACATTTCAGTTTGATTGGTTGTTGTCATGGGGATTTTCCAAGTCTACAAGACCTCTGATTATTTGCATACTAGTGTGGTCTATCTTTTGAAATTAATCAGAAAATTCAGATTTATAGCGGTTTTTGCTCATTGAGAACCACTATGTTCATCATGTAAAAAATTTTCTTGAATGTGCATAGTATTCCAAGTACCAAAATGTTATAGCAAGTGGGGTCTATTATTTATGGTTTGGCAGATACAAAGTCAGCTGCCACATGGGTGAGTGAAAAAAGTGTGCAGATCCATCTGCGTGGGTAGCATGCTCCTGTCTTTAATTTTATCCAAGGCTTCATCTTTGCGTACCATTGTGATATCCTTTTGTCCTTTTGGTCTCTCCCTGCAAGTCCCAAATTCATCATCAGAGGAGTTTCTATGGTATTCTACCTTGGCAATTGGCATAGTCAGTCCACAGTGGAAGCTCCGCACCGAAGTTCAGATTAATTAATTAGAAGCTAAATAATCCCATTGTTTGGTAAAATAGTAAGGGTTCCAAGTAAAAGGGTATCTAATTTGGACTAATTAGACCCAAGGTTAACTTTCTAGGCAAATCTTTTTGTACCACGCTTTGACGGGATAATTGCTTGGTGCAATGATGAAAGCTTGTAACTCAATTGTGAGGATGATTGGTCTGCCCTCCTCGTGTTTGTAATATTTATTGGTTTCTTACAAAACAAGAATGCTGACTAAGAAGTGATTTAGTACTCAATGGCAGAAAATTTAACAGGGTGAACAACTAATTAAAACGGCTGCTTGCTGTAAAGTACCTATTACCCTGTCTTCCTTATCTTTATGTGTGTGTGTGCACATGTTTTCAACCGCCTGACAATACATCAGGAGTTTTGAGTCCGGGAATTAATCTCTCCATAGTGGGGGCAAGACTGCCTACATTTACTACTCCTTGACCCCGCTAAGGTAGGAGCCTTGTGGATATGACATATATGAGTTCATTTAAACTTGGCAGTTATCCTTCTGAGAATAACTTAACTTTTTGCGCTTGCAATTGTTCTTGTAGCTCATGTATACCTTTAATCCATCTAATAAAAGCATTGCATTGAACTGAAGTGCTTTGGTAATAGCTGATTATCTTGACCCTTTTTTGGTGCGGGATGCAAGAGTTGTACCAAATCGAGGCAAATCATGAATACTAGATAAGACCTCAAAATAGCAGGGGTCAAGGTCGACAAATGAGATGATAGGGGATAAGCTTCACCATCGAGAGGGAAACAGCCCGGATCACCAGTTAAGGCCCTTAAATGACTGCTTTGTGATGAAGGAGATAGGGGTGTAGAGACAGCCAGGAGGTTTTCCTGAAAGCAGTCACCCTTCAAAGAGTGTGTAATAGGATAGCTCACTGACTGAGCGCTCTTGTGCCGAAGATGAAAAGCGGCTAAGCAATCCAGTTTCCTCTTCTGGATGGTCTAAAATTATCTTGGTAGTTTTCTCTTTTTTATAGGATGAGTTGTAGTAGTCAATTCCCTCCTTTAACCTTTGTTGCATAGTAAAATTACAGCATTGCATTCATGGAATAATATATAGTGGTCAATAGTTTTTTTTAAAAAAATTTGAAAATGATGGTTAGTAGTTGTGAATGCATTATGGTATATAATATCAAGGGCAAGTAGCATGTTGCCTAGTATGCAAGAGTTGCTCTCTATCAGCATGGCTGCACTTACCTATTTGTGGTTCTTGATTCCTGTTCATCCACGATCGTCCTCACTCCAATGTATTTATACTTCATTGAAAGTGTCTATTCTCTGGCTTCTTTCTAGATCATGTTACCAGAAGCAATCGCAATTGTGATGGCTCCTAAAGACACAGCCAGGTTTAGTTCTGTTCCCTTCTAATTTCCTTGCATCAAAATTACTTCTTTAAATTGGAGTATAATGTTTTTCAAGGTTGTGCTGATGAAATGAATTTGTGTAATTCACTGCTTACAATCTTTGATAACTAACGCTTATTAGTGAGCAACCTTTTTGTTTTGGTGAACTCATTTTTGTTCATATTATTCTCCCAGTTAGATATATTTTGGAATTGGTGGTAGATGCACGTGGAGGCAGTGCCTGATTTATGGGAAATAATTATTGTTATATGCACATTTTTCTGTCCTATACTTGTCGTCAATAGTTGTACCGCAGAAAGGTCTGACCAACCGTTGAGTGGGCTTAAACCTTGAAATTGTAGATAGGCTATAAATTTTGATTGCCAAAGTCTTCCAAAGATCACTACAGAATGGGCCATTTAAGGTTCTTGATTTCAAGTGATAGTTGAGGTTATACATAAATTAAGGGTTTGTCCTGGCATTTGGAAATTGTGGATCAATATCTTCACAAAACAAACTGGAGGTTGAACTCCATGGGGTCCTGTATATATGCCACGGTGATGATCTGGTTCAACTTCTTGTTTGGAGATGCACATTGTATAAGTAAAACCCAAAAAGACTTATCAGAAGAAGGAAAAAAAGGTAAAATCTAAAAAGATTACGTAATATTGCACACTAAGGATATTATGCGATTGGAGGATTCAAATTGGTGTTTCTATGTTTGCCTTTTTGATCTTGGCAGTAAGCCGAAAATTTTGAGTTTGTGGGGCTCATCAATGTGGGGGAAGCCACTTTATGCAAATAATTCGGAAGTTTAGGTGCATACCCGCTTCATCCTCTCCCAACGTCCTTAATCGAAAGTGTTGTTGCATATTTCTTTGGTTATTCAGTGGACAGCTGGTTCTTGGTTTTGTGCTTAATGAGTTTATTATATACATATTTTGTTATTTATTTTCTTCTACTCTATTGCATTTGCAGTCAACATGGCATATTTCACCTCTCTGATCCTAGTGGGGTTTCTGTTATTCGAAACTGTCAAGAGCGTGGATTTCACCCTCATGAGGAGCCTGAAGATGGAAATCCAATCTATGAACACTCTTCACATGTTTATATGAACGAGAATTTGAAGTTTGACGTAGTAGATCTCCGGTGAGCTCATGTTTCCGTAAACATTATTAGTGTATTTTTATCAGATGGAGAAATACATGAGTAAGACCAATTGTAAACTCTTTTTCCAGCCCACAACTCTTGTGATGTAAAGTAAATTCCTTCTTCACTGCGGCTTGTGAAATAGTTGGACCGAGGGAAAGAGAGAAATTGTTTGAATATATGATACGTTAGGTGGTGTGGATAGTCGGGTTTTGACTTTTTGTATTCTCACCCGAGGTAATGAATGAATTATAATTTCAATTTACCTTTTCGTGGGATATACCAAAAACACTTAGCCTGTACATAAGTCTTGCATGGTTTGTGGATTAGAGTGCATCGTTAACTCCGGTAACAGAAAATGAGTCTAAAAAACTCAGTTCAGTTCGCAAAATTCGGCTCGTTTATATATAAAATAGTCGAACTCGACCTAGACTCGGACTTGGCTCGAGTTCTAAACAAATCAAACTTGAACAATTTTTTAAACTTATTTAAAGAAATAAACTCGTTAGGCTGGTAAATGCTAGTAATGACAAGGAGGATATAAGAAATACAAAGAATAGGAAAAAGGAAGAAGAGAATTATGTGGACATTTTTAAATAAAAGGAAGGCTACTTTTTTTTGTTTTTTGAGATATATTACAAAAAAAGAAAAAAGTGAAGTTTGTGCTTATAATTATTTGCTTGTGTTGATACGAAGAGCACTCTCATCAAATAAGAGTTAATTACCATAATATAATTTTTTTTAAAAAATTTTTCGATATACGATATTTTTGAACTTATTTTTTAAATTAAAATATTTATTAAAAACAGAGTCAATAATTTTTTTTTTTTTTTTTAAAAACAGAATAATTGCAATGTGACTACCACCGTCGGCTGGCTGATAAAGGAAGACAGTATGAAAAACGTGTTTCCCTTTCACACAAAAATACAAATTTAAATTTAGAATAAAAGAACATGATCGGACAGAGTGGTGGTCCTATCCGTTGATATTGGGGGCAGCCAGTATCAATAGGTTGGAATAGACTACAGTACCAAAATGTCGGTACCTTTCTGAAATTAAATGGTGACCGTTTATAAGTTTGATTTAAAAGTAAAAACAAAATACTTTATTTGTCAGATAGTACAAGTCTAGTTTGTACAACAAAAGTGACAAGAAAATATTTAAATTCAAATTCATCAAATCAAAATTTAATTACATTCTATCAATATTTAGTTTATCAAATTAACACCAAGTTAACATTAAAATTCATCAAATTAACATTCAATTCATTTAATTAATATTCAAATTCTCAAATTAACAAAAAAAAATCTCCGAATAAACATTCAATTCATCAAATTGAAATATCCAAATATATCTATTAGCTTTCAATTTATCCAATTAATATTCAATTTTCATCCGATTAACCATCAATTTAATAAATTACACTAAATTAACATTGAAGTTATTAAATTAACACAAAATTAGCATTCAATTCACCGAATAAACATTCAAATTCAACTGATTAATATTAAATTTATCGAATTAATATTAAATTTTATTCAATTAATCAAACCAAATTAATATCCGATTCCTCCAATTTATATTCAAATTTCTCTAATTAACAATCAATTCATCAAGTTAACAATAAAAGTAATACTAGAGTAATATGCAATTAACACCAAATTAACATTCAATTCATAAAATTGATATCAAACTAACATTCAAATTCAACAAATAAACATTCAGTTAATCAAATTAATATTTAACAATAAAATAACATATAATTTTATTCAGTTAACATTCAATTCATCGAATCAATATTCAAATCTATTTAGTTGACATTAAATTCACAAAATTAACATCAATATTAAAATTCAAGCTTATATAGTTATAATTTAATTCATCAAATTAACACCAAATTGACGTTCAATTCTTCAAATTAATATTCAACTTCATTCAGCAAAAATAAATTAATATTCGAATTTATCAAATTAAAATTTAACTATATTTATTTAACATTCAATCCATTAAATTAACATAAATAATTTCATCAAATTAACATTCAAATTAAATTGAATAACATCCAATAAAAATTTAATTCATTAAGTCAACACCTACGTAACATTCAATTTTATTAAATTAACATTCAATTCATTAAATGAATATCAAATTAATATTCAAATTCACCCAATTAACATTCAACTCATCAAATTAATATTAAATTTCACGTAATTAACATTCAATTTATCAAACTATCAATAAATTAACGCTCAATTTCATTCAATTTAACATTCAATGGCATTCAAATAGTATTTAATTCAACTAATGAACACAAAATGAACATTCAGATTCATCAAATTGATAGTCAATTTGGTGTTAATTTGATGAAATAACTTTTAATAAATAAAATTAAAAGTTGAATTTAATGTTAATTTGATAAAATTGGTGATAAAATCGAATGCTAATTTGGTGTGATTTAATGGATTGGATCTCAATTGGATGAAATTCAATGTTAACTTCATGAATTTTTATGTTAATTAGATAAAAATGGTTTATGGTGTTACTTTTACGAAACTGAAAATAAATTAAATTGAAGGTGAATTTAATTTTAATTTTATTTTTCGAAATCGATTGTTGATTTAGTATTTATTTGGATGAAATTGAAAGTTAAATTAATGAATAAATTATTATTATTATTTATCTTCAATTGGATGAATTTTTCGTGCTGATTTGATGAATTGGATATCAAATTGGATGAAATTAAATATTTAATTTTTTAATTTTAATGTTAACTTCATAAAATTGACTGTCAATTTGGTATTAATTTGATAAAATTTAATTTTACTATGTAAAATTGAAAGTGAATTTGATAAAATTATATATTAATTTGGCATTTTTTGATGAATTGAATCACAATCAGATAAATTTTAATGTTAATTTGATAAGATTGATAGTCAATTTGGTGTTAATTTGATGAAATTTAATTTTAATAAATAAAATTGAAGATGAGTTTTGTATTAATTTGATGAAACTGAATTTTAAATTGATGAAATCGATATTTTTTTAAAAAGATTTTTTTTTGGGACAGGGAGGGGGAAGGAGGTTTAAACCCTTGACCTCAAGAAGACAAAGTCTTCACAAGGTAAAAAGTATCATTGGACCAAAGACCCATTGGTGAAATTGATATTAATTTGAGGTTAATTTGATGAATTAGATCTCAATTGAATTAAAGTAAACATTAAATTCATGAATTTTAATATTTATTTAATAAAATTGATGGTCAATTTGATGTTAATTTTATCAAATCAAAGTTTAATAAATAAAATTAAAGGTGAATTTTTCATTAATTTTGAGAAAGTGAATTTGGGATTGATGAAATTGAATATTTATTTTGTGTTAATCTAACAAAATCAAATGTTAATTATATGAATTCGAATGTTACAATCTTTTGGTGTTTGTAGCACCATTTGACTGTGAGTAGATTCCTAGCGTACAAGATAATTTTATCATTAATTTGGTTAATCTTACAGTAATTGTGGATAATTTTATAAACATAAAGGTAAAATGTATGACACCTATGGGATTCACTAATGATGTCAATCAATATTTTTAACACCATATTAGTTACATTTAATGTTGTTAAGGATAGTGTTACCACCGTTGTGGTAAGATTGACGATAATAGTGGAAAATTTATCATAATTGAGGGTATATTTGTCATATTTGAGTGTGAGTTTACCACAATTGTCGATAAATTTACATATTTAGAGGAGAATTTACAATTGTTTTGGTTAATATTATGACAATTCTAAATAATATTACGATGATTAAGTGTAAATTTACGACAAAAATAAGTTAAGTTAAAACTATGGAGGATAAATATACCACAATTGGGGAAACAATACGACATCTAAAGGAAAATTTATTATAATTAAGGGTTAAATACAACGACTGTGGGTAAGATTACTAGTTTATAAGATAAGTTAACCATTAATTTGGTTAATTTTACAATAATCGTGAGTAATTTTACAAACATAAAGATAAATGTATGATACTTATGTGATGCACTAGTGACGTATTTAAAACAAATATGGTTAAAGATGTCCATCAATACTTTTACCACCATATTTGTTACATTTAATATTGTTCATGATAGTATTATCACTGGTTTGGTAAGATTTACGATGACTGTGGACAATTTATCATAATTTATAGTATATTTATCACTTTTGAGTGTGAGTTCACCACAATTGTGGATAAATTTACATGTTTAGAGTAGACTTTGTGATTGTTTTGATTAATATTATGATAATTCTGGGTAACATTACGATGATTAAGAATAAATTTATGACAAAAAAAAGGTTAAGTTAAAATCATGATGGATAAATTTACCATAATTGGGAAAACATTATGACATTATAGAAAAAATTTATTATAGTTCATGGTTAAAATACAACAATTATGAGTAAGACTACTGGTATATAAGATAATTTTACCATTAATTTGGTTAAACTTACAATAATTGTGGGTAATTTTACAAACATAAAGGTAAATGTATGGCATCTATGTGATGCACTAGTGACATATTTACAATAAATATGATTAAAGGTGTCAATCAATACTTTTAACACCATATTGGTTGCATTTAATATCGTCAAAGATAATATTACTATCGTTGTGGTAAGATTTATGATAACATTGGACAATTTATCCCAATTGTGGATAAATTTACATGTTTAGAGAAGAATTTATAACTGTTTTAATTAATATTACGACAATTCTAAGTAACATTACAAGGATTAAGGTTAAATTTAAGACAAAACGAGGTTAAGTTAAAATAATGGTGGATGAATTTACTAAAATTGTGGTAACATTACAATATGAAAAGAAAAATTTATTATAATTTAATGTTAAGTTACAGTAATTGTGGATAAGGTTATTGTTATATATGCTAATTTTGTTTTCATTTTAGTTAATATTAAGAGAATCATGGAAAATAATACAAATTTAGCGGTAAATTTATGACATTGATGGGATTTACTAGTGTCGTATGGTTAAATGTGTCAATCGTATTTTTACTAGCATATTTGTTAAAGTTTGCCCATTATTGTAGTAAATTTTTCACTGATGTTGTAGTTTTGTCTATAACTGTTGTAAAATTTTCACTGATGTTATAATTTTGCTCATTATTGTAGTAATTTTGTTTACTATTATTGTAAATTTTTTACTAATGTTATAATTTTATCCACTATTATTTTAA